ATGGTGGAGTCCAACCGTGCACTGGTCCACTGCCGCTGGGTGTAGAGAGAGGGACAAGATTCCAGGGGGTGTCCAGGGCACTCTGCTGTAAGAAATAAGGTGAGCTACCACCACTGTGGGCTAAAGATAAAGTTCATTTTTAAGGTCAGGAGGTTCTCAAAGAAGGATGGAGAGGCATGTTATTGCTCATTAGTCCTTTCTGGGGACTCAAAATTCATCTCCCTGCAAAAAGGGAACAGAACACATCAACTCAGACACCCCCCGGGAAACTCAGGTCCCATCCAACCTTCTGATTCCTCCTCATTGTTCTGTGGGGACTATAACACCCCCCAGCAGTGCCATCTCCTGGAAAGAACCTCTTGTCATTACATGGAAACCCTTTTCCATACTCTTACACACCATGTTTTGTCTTTATGTGGCAGATGACAGAACCTATGTAGAGACTGCAAAGTTTAGGGGTCCCTGAGTTGCCCCTTATTCTGCCCACTAACAAGAAGCCATATCATCTTAATCTTCTCTTCTCCGATTTATCACTAGCGTTCCTGAAAAGGGAAGTTGCTAAGAGCTGCTGAACAACTTGCCCACAATAACGGTCAAGGTTACCATGAACCCCTACTCAGACAATATGAAAAGTTCCTGATAAACTCCCACATATCCCACACTACCAGCTGTAGCTCAAGCATAGCAGGCTTCTGCATAAAAACTATAAAACCTTACCATTCCTGCTAGGAGCTATCCCACCGAGCCCGCTAGTGTGACAACTAAATCCCCTTCTCTCCCTTCTCTGAGTGTTGCCTGGTTTCTCTGAAAAATTGCCACAATATTCCTAGAGAAAAAGGTAGTACATTGACCCATGGAAGAATGAAGGGAATGTGGCCAACCAAATACCTGAGGGGAAAGGAAAACAGGACCTGTTGTGTCAACAAGGACCCACGCTTCTGTCCCATCCTCACCCTTCTCTCAGAGGTGCAAGAAGGGACAACCATGGCTGAACATATGGTAAAACTTTCTGGGAGACCCCCCACCCCTCTCACCCCCACCTCAATTTAGCAGGCAAGTGAGCAAAGCCATCTGCATAGACTTAGACAGAGCAGGTTCCAGCCTGTAGCCTATGCAGGAGTCTGCTTCCTGAAGGCAAAAACCAGTCTTTCAACTCACACTGATGACCAAGGAGCCAGAAAAATAAGATTTTAACTAGGGATACCTAGCCTTTGCTCCTCCAGTGTTGTCTTTAGGAATCCAGGAAGTGATAAAACTCCAGCATTTGCCTTCCTCTGTCCTTAAGCTAGCATCCACATATCCATATTCTTAATGACTTACTGGTCCACATATATTAAGTAAATTCAAACTTTTATTTATTGGAAAACAGTTATCAGAGTATAATCTGGACAGCTTCCCTGGTTCGAATCCTCACTCCTGCTTCTTTACTAAACTCACTTAATTTTCTTGCTCCAGTATAACAGAAACTGACTATCTACATTTTTTAAATAGGGTCTAGCTGACTAGATGCTTTAACAGATATGTTTCACTTAGTCCACAAGTTGGAAATGTCAGGAATTTTAAATAACATCTAGCCAAACATTTCATTAGGCAAAATATAGTAAAAGTGAAGGTATTATATGGAATAAAATTTGCAACCCCAAAATATTCTTCTTAAGCAGGAAAATACCATATCAAAGATTATTTTCATAAAGAGGGTCTCTGAAAGCTGAGTGGAGGTTGCCCTTTTGCAAGCATTTCCATGTATAAATGAAAATCTCTATTTGTAAGGGTATCTCCTTCTTTGGGAAGACTGGCAGGGCAAATCTCTTTAACTCTATGCATTGGAGAAGGCAGCAACTGAATTCTGCATCACACTCAAAGCCTTGTTTACTGTGCCTTTCCTAGAAACTTCCCAGAACTTACCTTCCACTTCTTATCCCTTCCCCAACATCCTTCATCTTCCTGAAGTTATTTAAGGATATGACTTAACCATTTTGGAGAGTTACTGTTTTATTAAGTGTCTCCTGTGAATACAGCAGGGATACATGTTATTATTAAACTTTTTGGATTTTTTTTTCCTCTTGTCAATCTGTGATGCTAATTTGACTACCTTAAGAACCAGGAGGAGAAGAGGGGATATCCATCTCTCCCCAACACTATGCACACCCTACAACCCTTAATTTCCCTCCTGTTTACTGAAGACTAGGTATCCCAGGATGCTCAGCTAGGTCTCTCCAATAAGTGTCATTATAGGTATGTGGATTATTTCAAACTGAGATTACTTGAGGGTTCATAATAAATTTTTAACACTCTTTTAAGTACCCAGATTGATAGAAATTGGAGGTGTTACCCCAAATTAGGATTTTTACCAAAAACAACCTTTCTGCTGGAGAAACCTATCTAAATGGCAGGGTCAGTATCTAGTTAACAGAGCATCTCCCATTCCTTAGCTCAGGTTATATACACGCATTTTGCCCATTGGGTTTGGAAGCCACATCTATGTAGATTCAACATACATACCTAATTAAATTAGATTTTTTTTCCTCCTGCTAATCTCCCTGATGTTGATTTGATTGTCTAAGTAGCCTGAGAAGAATCCAGAGGGACATGGGGGAATTTTCTTTGCTCTCCACATTACAAACCATAGAGGAGTATTTTCTAAATTGAGGATCATGAGCTACTAGTAAGTAGTGAAATCAATTAGTGGATCCTGATGAGTAGTTTCTACAATGAATTAAAACAGAATAGACATGATCAGAGAATATACACATAATGTGGCATTGTATAGTGTGTGCGTACGTGTGTAGTATATGCATTTGTTGAATCGTGTACAATATTGTGTGTGTATTGGATAACAATGTGTTAATTATTCTAAGAATTTTGGTGTCACAATCCTAGAGAAACTCTCACTGTTATTTAAAATAGACTATATCCACTGCAGGAACATTTGTAATAAATCAACACAAAAAGTGATAGAAAATAACCTAAGTATTCCTCAAGATGACCATGAAAAACAAATTGTGGCATAGTCATACAATGCAATATTACATCACAATTAAAATAAATGAATCAATAAATAGCAGTAAAGATATTCAGAATAAAAACATGTTGCCTAATGATATGTTTACTGTAACATCAATATAAAGTTTAAAAGCATGCAAAACTATTCTCTATCTTGTTTCTGGTATACACAGTATGTGAAGTATAAAAATAGGCACGGGAAAGATAAATACCAGACTCAGCAAAGTAGTGATCTCTGTAAAGGCAGGAGGAAAATGACCTCAGGGAGGGATGTACCAGGCTTTTCAACTATGTATATCTTGTTTGTTTCTTTTTCTTAAACCTTTTTTTTTTTTAAGATTTATTTATTTATTTTTATACAAGAGCTGGGGTACAGGCCAGAGGTGCAGGAGGGTGAGAGGATTCACCAGAGACATAGCGGGGAGCAGAACAGGCAGACAACCAAAATACACTGCTGAGGGGAGCAGCGGGTACGGCTGGGAATCGAACACACGCTGCAGAGGCTGCAGACAGCCTCACCGCGCTGCGCTCAACCCACTGCGCCACAGGGGAGGCCCATATCTAGTTTGTTTCTTAACCTAGAGGAAGTTATATTATTCTTTCCTGAATATTTGTATTTCATATTTTATAAATTTTTGCCCCCAAAAAAAGGGGAAAGGGAGATAAAAGTTATCAGGCTTAGGTTTGAATTTCATCTGCCACATACTGGAAAGGAACTTAGCAAATTCTTTCATTCTTTCATTCATTCTCCAAGTCTCTGGGTCTGTAAAAGGATCCGGAATAGTAAATATTCTGTTTCAGAGCCAAATTAAGTGAAATAATATGGATATGTGTTTTCTAAACTGTAAAGTGCTATAAAAGTAGAAGCTGAATTGCACTTTACAGTGCAATTCCAATCATTGCAAGAAATTCAGTGTTCTACTCTCAGAGAACCTTGTTTCTTTCCTTACCTCGCTTGCACTTACCTCACTTGCAGTGACACATGCATTAATGCTATTACGTGACAGCATCATCCTCATTCCAAGGCTTTAGGCTCATCATTCTCTTCCCTAGAGGCCAGTACAGTTCCTGGCACATGTTAGTGTTCAACACAGTTGTGTTCGTGTAACTGAAAAGCGGTTACCTGTAGGAGGACAGAGAGGCAGCTTGGAAAAATAAAGGACTTTCATGTTCTGCTGTATGTTCCTGTAGTGTTTGAACTGTCACCATGAGCCTCTATTACCTAGTGGCAAAACTTATTCAGTATTTAATAAAATGAGCAGGTATGAAATGAGCAGGTATGAAATCCTCATGTCTTAATTGCATCGCCTGTCATGGGACAGTAACATTTTAACACAGCAAATTCTCTGGACAGGAGATGCATGAAATGAAAAGAACAATCAAGTCGTGATCTGGGGCGCTGGGCTCTCCTGAGATCCTTGGGGTGAAGACGGCGTGTGTAACGGTTTAAGAACCGCCCTGGAGGTACGGTTAGGAGGCGCTCGAGAGGTTGCAGCAGGATTCCCGCCTCTCCGTTACATGCCCCAGTAACCCCAGCGCGCCGGCGACCGAGAGTAACCTCGCGGTCGGGTGACGCCCTCCCCACCGCCCCGACTCTCGCCTGCTCGGGTCTCAGCCAATGGGAAGGCGGCGCACCAGCCGGCCGGACTCCTGCCCTCCCCGACTCCGCCCCTCAGCAGTTGGAACAGCGCCGTACAATCACCGCGCCGCCGGCTTCAGACCTAGCCAATCGCAACTCTAGTTCCCGATTCCAAGCCCCGCCCCCGCCCCGCCCCGCGAGGGTTCTCGGCGGGAGTCACTTTCTCCTTACAAACCTTTAGACCCGCCCCCTACCTACCTTGCGGCGTTAGGCCCCGCCCCTGGGCGGACTGACCAATAACCAGCGAGCCTGGCGCCTCTGGGCGGGTCTGCAGCCAATGCGCACGCCGTGGGCGGGCTCCGGGCCGGAATTGGGGGTGAAGCTACAGTGTTGTGCCCACATTCGGGGCGCGCGGAGCTGGGGGGGTCCCTGAGGGGCGCCCGGAGCTAAGATGGCGTCCGCAACTGAGGGGGACGTGGGGACGGTGGCGGAGCTTTCGAGGGTGCTGCGGTGGGGTTTCGAGGACCTGAGCCTTAACAAGTTGGCGACGTCCCTGGGCGCGTCAGAACAGGCGCTGCGGCTCATCATCTCCATCTTCCTCGGTAAGGACCCTCCTGCCTCCCTCCGCCCCCTCGCGGAGTCCCCGGGGAGTGGGGACTCGACCTCCCTCCCTTCCCTGAGCCACGCCGGAGGGCTTTGTGGGGTGCGGATGTGAACCCTAAGGACACCAGCCAGCTATTGAGAGGGAGACAAGTCGTGGCTGAAGTCGGGGGGCGTTGTGCCCTCTGAACCTCTTCGCCTCTCTCTTCGACCCTTGCTCTACCCTCACTTGGCGCCATCACCCCCTCATTATGCCATGGTCTACCCAGTGTCCCCACGACCTGTCCTTATTTGTCCCTCCCTTTGGTTCTACTCTCTGTCCATGTGTAATGGGTTACTGACATCAGCCCCTCTCATGCTCGCACTTAGCGTTAGGCATAGATAAGGCCCCCTAACTTAGAAATCAGCGCCCTTTAGCTCATGTTTCCATATTCTGAGCCTCTATATCACCTGCTTACATTACACCTTCATCGCTTTTCTGTCCCGTTTCTAAATTCTCTTCTTATACCATATTCTAACCCCCCCAACACACACACACACACACACACACACACACACTTTAACCACCCACCTGTCATTTCCCCTGGATTATATTTAAATGCTAGGGTTAGACAACAGGACTGACAACCTCCTTAAAAACTATCCTTGCTACCCCAAGCACTTATTATTCATATGCTTCAGAGGAAGTGGTGATCTGAATTTATGTCATAATAAGCTGTATTATAACTGCTTTATAGGCATTTTTACTGCATCCTGACTCCATGGTTTTTTAATATATGGAAGCAGCATGACCCAATGAGGAAAAAAAAAAAGCGTGGACTTGAGAAGCAAACAAATTAGACCCAGCCCTGCTGCCACTTACAAATTGTAGGACCCTTGCTGGGAAAAGCAATTTAACCCCTCTGGGCCTCGATTTGCTTATCTGTGAAACTGTACAGTAATGCCTATCTCATAGGATTGCTATAGGAATTCAAAGGTCAAGGTCTGATACATAAATATTTGAGTAGTTGGAAGGTTTTGTGAAGGTTATGGGACTTTAACTAGGAGAGTTGGGGTGGGGAAGAATTAAACAAACAGGACTGGGGCCAGGGCAGAGGGCTAGAGATCTGAACCAGAAGAAGTTGAAATAAAGTTAGGCAGATGTGAGAAGCCTGAAATGCCAGAGAGCAGTCTGGATTTTATCCAGAACTCAGTGGAGACTTGGACATATAATAGCTCTGAAGGGTGTTAACCGGATCTAGATAATGGGAGAAGCATTAATTCATATTTAAACAACCTGGGCTAATAGCATTGTTATTTGCCTATTATGTATCGAACCAAGATGATCTTCCTGTCTTCCAAATAAAGGTCACCTTTTCCTGCCCATGTAGAATTGTAAAATTTTAGGTTACGTGGCTTCCTCTCTCACCCAGATCTAACCCAAATTTATCAACATCCCAGTTAGGGTTCTTTGCACGACACCAGCTTTGAACTTCCTACTCCTTCCTCCCCCTTTCTGAACCAATTATTTGTTGGGATTGTAACTGACAATTAAGTATGTTTATATTCATTAAATAGGAGACTCATGGTTGATTTGAAATTAATTTGAGTTAAAAGCACCTAAATGCAGATAATCCTGAGAGAAGCATTAGATATAGCAGACATTCGCATATTACAGTGGGAGTAGTAACTTTTAATAGTCAGGCTCGTTTTCTTAACCTTTTACTTTCCTTGAGTTCTGTGTGCTGATCTTGGGGTGGGCCACAGAGTGTGAAAGAAATAGCTTTCAAATTTTTAACTGGGATCCATGGTAAGAAATATATTTTACGTCATGATCCAGTACACACACGTGTATAAATACATTCAAAATAAAAATTTAGGAAACATTACTCATTCTTACTACAGTCTATTTTCTATTTAATTTTTCTATTTAATTTTTTAGTATTGTTTATTACCCACTGAAATGATTTCATGACTCATTAATGGTTTTATCAAGTAGTCTGAAAAATCTAGAATCAGAGGCTATAATTTTTAATATTCAATATTTCAAGGAAAGAATAAGCTTATGAGAACTGCATTGGAGTACTTTGAGCAGCCAGGAGACTATTAAAAGGGGTGTGTGTGTGTGTTTTGAATATGGTTGCACAGAGTTTGGCCAGAGGTGAATTTTGCTGGGTCCTGGTGCTGGTGGAAAACATCTCCTCTTCAACCACCTGGGTCTCATCACTCCTTAGCATAATTAATAACATGAATTATACCAAATAAAGTCAAAAAAATGTACCTACTGTACATGAAGCACTGTGCTTGACCCTGCCAGCACCAGGGTGATAGTGCGATATGAGTAATAGGCCGGTGTGCTGAGAAGCATTATGGTTGATGAGGGGGTAGGGAATGGGCATGAGATAAGTTCTCTAACAACCACAATAAAAGGCAGAGAAATCTAAGTGCCCTAAGAGAATAATGAAGTCTTGTGAGATTTAAAGATAGGACTTTTAATGAACTTTGGTTAGGTGAATAAGGTTTCAGCAGACTGAACTGGTGAAACAGGAGGAATAGCATCAGCAAAGGCACTGAGGTAGGATTCTGGTGACACATTGGAGAAACAGGAAGTAGCCCCAATTTGACTACCAGGACATAAGTAGAAAAGTGGTAGGAGAGAAAGCTGTGGAGCCTTGAAAGCAAGGTAAGGAGTGTGTATTTAATTAAGTAGGTGTTTAGGGAGTCATTGAGGTTTTCCACGGGGAATAATGTGACTGCAGCTGTATGGGGAAGATAATACAGTGTAGGGTTATTTGAGGTGAGCATAGACGAGAGGTAGGGAGACCAATGAGAAGAAACTAACTAGCTAAATAGTTTTAATGACTTGGAGGCAAGTTGGTTGTACTAAGAGGGAAAAGCAGAGATCTCATGTAAATATTTTAGGAATATAGAGTCTTTCAAAAGGTACATTGTATAAGCTCTTTCAGTCTGCCCCACTGCTCATGCCAAGAATCAGCCTTGTCACCTCTGTTTCACCCTCTCCCCACATCCCAGTCACCACATGCTATCAACATTACCTCTTGTGTCTCAGATACACCATCTTTCTCCATCCCCACAGCCACTGATCTTCTGTCTCCAGAAGCTCCCGAGTAGTCTTCCTGACTGGTCTCTAATTCTGTTCTTGCCCCTCTAGTCCATTCTCCAAAAAAGACAGAGGGGTCTGATCCTGTGCCTTTCCTGCTCAGAACCTTTTCGGGGGCTTCCATGCATGGCTGATAAGCACCCGCCTGCTGCTCCAGCTCATCTCCAGCAAGTTCACAACCTTTTAGTCACTTCTTCCAGTTCCTCAGAAAAGGCATTAAGCCCTTTCCTACCTGGGAGCTTTCCTACCAGCTGATCCCGCGGCCTTCAATGTGCATCACTTGTTCCACACCTGAAAGACTCCTGTTCAGCTTTCAGGTCTCACTTCAATTTGTCCTTCACCTAAGTGTTCTCTCCTGACTTTCATTTTAAGTGATTGCCCCTGTTGTACTCTCATGCTGACCAAAATTTCCTTCACAATATAGATCCTGGTTTGTAATGACTTCTTTGTAGCTAAGGGCAGAAACGTGTCATTTTTGTTCACCACAGTGTAACCCAAATTCAACACAGTACCTGGGAAAAGGCTCACTAAATATTTGGTAAATAAGAGCATGTGTGAGTGAATGCCTTGGCAACTGATGAAATGGAGGATGAAGAAGTAATTAAAAATAAGAGATTCAGTCCTTCCACCTGGGTCACTAGAAAGGCGATGGTTTCTTCCACAAAAGTAGAGAGGTCGGGCCTCCCCAGTGGCGCAGCGGTTGAGCGCTGGGTTGCGAAGCTGCCCGCAGCCTCTGCAGCGCAGGTTCAATCCCCGGCTGCTCCCTGGCCACTGGAGGAGGGTCCCGCATGGCGCGCAGACCTCCCCTGCCACCCGCTGCTCCCCCCAGCAGTGTCTTCGGTCCTTCTGCCTGCTCTGCAGACCTCCCCTGCCACCCGCTGCTCCCCCCAGCAGTGTCTTCGGTCCTTCTGCCTGCTCTGCTCCCCCCTCTGGCTCTGGTGAATTCTCTCACCCTCCCACGCTTCTGACTGTACCCAGTGCTTGTATAAATAAATAAATATATCTTTAAAAAAAAATTTTATTAAAAAAAAACAAAAGCAGAGAGGTCAAGAGGAGAGTCACATACTGTTCAGCACCAGGTCATGGTCTGGCTCTGGATTTGCTTTAAGTTCCCAGGGTGCTTTCATGTGCCTTGAGAGCTGGGAAGCCTTGTCTTGAGCTCAAGAGAGAAGCTGGGTGAAAGATACAGTTTTAAGAGGGGATAAAATGCCATGGAAACACTTCTTCAGAGGGAAGAGAATCCAATTCATGTTGGTTGAGTATTGCTACCCTTATTGATAATGATAATAACTGATATTTGTTAAGGATCTGCTGCATACCAAAAGTTGTCCTAAGCGTTCAACAGGCAATATCCTCACCTAAAGCTGCCAGTTATGCATTAGATAATTACAGTGCTCTTAGCATCTCCCTTATGCAGATAGGAAACAAAGATAGGGCTACAAAAGTTAAGTAACTTGCCTGAGCTTACACCCGTTACTGCCCAACTCTGGAGTCCTTGCTCTTTACCACATCAGGATTGGGAGAAGTGTTGCCTGAGTGGAAAGGATAAATGCCCTTGGTATCCTTTTTTCTTTTCGTTCTACATGGTCAAGCCAAGATGTAATCAGCATATGAGACACCTCTCAGTTGCAAAGCTGGAGCTGGCCAAAGGGAACAGATGGCTGGCCTGCTTAGTATGAGTGTCTCCTCTCATCTTGGCCATGATTGTGACTTGGTTGTTAGTTTGATCAAAAATTGCACTTGAGGATAAGGCTTCTCTCTTCAGAGATTCAGAATGAGTGGCACTGAGGTTAGCAACCTTTAAAATCAAAGAAGACCCTGCAGTTAGTTCCGTTTGGATGAAAGTCAGCATCAGCTCTTCAGAACTCTGTCCATTTATTCAGTGCAAGAAGCTTTCTTCAG